AAATGATATTTTTAAATGAAATAATTTTTTTAAACATTTATAAATAAACTGTAAACAAGATTCAAAACAATTTATATTATAACAAACTAATTTCGTTTTATTTTTGGAAATAAGATTTCCAATAATTGGATTTTTTATATTCCAGTATGTTCCTTGATCCAATTTCTAAATTTACCCAGTCGCGTATAGACAGTAGGGTGGTGTGGTTCTGCGCATCCATCGCCCCATGACACAATACCTATCAGCGTATTGTTAAACTTTATTGGGCCACCAGAATCAGCCTAGTGAATTAAATAATAATTTAATTACTTTAACTAATGCTATAATATTATTGCATACGTGGCACGAGTCCTTTTTACCCTCATCATATCCAGCACAAAACATATAGTCACTTATTCTTGACTTGTAATCACTAATACAAGTGGCCCTATCGAGCACCGGTACGTCAACTGTCTGTAATTTCTCGGGTAATTTATAGTCGGCTTTTACACCCCATCCAGTTACTGTAGCTAATGATCCAGGTGCTGCATAATCTTGATCTTGGTCAGGTAGTTTTATTTTGTCTAATGCTGATGTACCTAACTTAAATTCACCACTGATTTGTAAAAGTCCAATGTCGCAATTAGTTGAGACATTTTTATCGTAGTTTTCGTGCGATATGATCTTGCTTATATTATAATCTTGACCAGGTACCTCCCGCAATAGGGTAGCGCACCGTAGTAATAAATCAACCGGTTTAGCTCTGTAATAGTTTTAATAAAATTATATTTATTTACTTTATTTAGAATATTATTACAATTATTATTAAAACTTAACTATAAATTAAATATATATACTTTAAATAAATTAATCCCGTAAACCATTTATTTAAATTTAATTCATCATTATAATGATTCTTATAATTTAAATGACAGTTTCAATGAAATAATTATGCTTGTTTAATTTTAATTGAAATTAGCTATATATTGTAATTGAAAAATGAGGTAGAATATTTTAAATTATATTCATCCTATTAATTCCGCTAGATTATGAAAATAAATAAAATATTTATCATATCTTATTAAATAGTTTTGCAGTTTATTTATTTTAAATAAATTATTGTAACTTAATAATAAATCCTTTAACAAACATTGACCTAAATGTTAAAACAATTGATCCACAGTGTGTTTAAAAGGGTTATCTATTTTAAAATTTAAACTGTATACATAACATAGTCATTGTACTTCTCAAAGTAATAAATAATATTAGATACTATAAATGAAATGATTATGTTATGTATACAGTTTGCATTGAAAAATAAATAACCCTTTATGCACGTTGACGATCATAAAGACTTGGTACATTATAGAATTAAATAACTAGTATAATAATTAATTTATATACATATATTTTTTACAAAATAAAAATTGATAATCGAAAAATAATTTCATTGAGACTATGCCAGTTAATTTTAAAATTAAAATATCATTTAAATTATTTATAACAAGCACTACAATTTGGATTTAATTAATTATTTGTAAATTAATTATTTAATAAATAATTATCACATAAATGACATACTTTGCCAAACAGTGGGCGGCGGTGACCACCCATTGGGTGCCTATAATAGATGCCCCGCATTGATGGGAACCATTGATTCTCAGGGAACACATGTGGGGGTTATCACCGGCTTTGGCATCACTGCCCCCTATGATACCAGCCCTCACATTGTGGTGTATATCAGCTGGCAAGGCAAATGACCATGCACAAAATGTTAAATATACTAAAATTTTGAAAATCATTTTAAGGTTACATGTGTGTATTAATATTAAATTACTTTTTAAGTACTTTATATACTGTATATTATATTTTATCTAAATACTCAAATGATTTAGAAATAAAAGTGTAGTTTAAATGTTATGTTCATTAAAATGTGCCTGTTATCATACTTTTAATTAGTACTTCGCAGAATTTATAAGGTACTGATTAATTTTGATAATTAATATTTGTAACCAATAACACTTAATATCAACAAGGTTTCATGTATATTTATTTTAAAATGATTATATTTTTATAAATAAAATAAGTAATAAATTTTATTAAAAATACAAAAATTAAATTGAACATGTTAGTCAAAGCAATCGTTGAATCCAATGTAATTAATTTTGTTTATAATATTTTAATTTATTGTAATTTTAGATAAGATTTACAGTTTAAATTATAAATTCATAAAACTAGAAAAATTATTATGACCTTTCTTATTATTACAGGTATACAGGTATTTATTATAAATTAAAATATCAAATAAATTTAAAATATTATTTACAATTTAATTTGGCAATAATTAGCACAAATATTTTAGATTGACACAGGTAAAAAATTTATTTATAATTATATAATTAATATACCACTACGCTAATATTATTATAATTATATAAATTATATAAAATAATTAACAAGCATAAATGAAGTATGTGAGACTTTTTGTAACCAAATCAATAATATTTTTACAACACATATATATTTTTAATAAACATTCAATTTTAATAGTTTCAACAACAAATTTTAATTATTAATTGTTGCATTAATGTAAATTGTACAATCACAATTTAGGTTTTAAATCATTAATTTCCCTAATGTTCCTCGATCCAATGCTTAAACTTACGTACACGGGTGTAAACACCAATATACCAGGGTAGTGTGGCTGAGCAAAGCCATCACCCCACGATACAACTCCGATCAGGGTATTATTAAATTTTAGTGGACCACCTGAATCAGCTTGGTTAAAAATTGAAATTACTAAATTCAATAGTTATCCTAACAAGTAATTATTAATCCAAACAGAGCATGAGTCCCTTTTACACTCATCGTATCCAGCACGAAACATATAATCAATAATGATAGATTTATAATTCTTAATACAAGTAGCCCTATCGAGCACCGGTACGTCTAATGTCTGTAAATGTTCAGGCAAAACTATATCTCGTAATAAATAAATTCTACATGTTGATTAAAATATATAATTTTAAAGCATTACAATTGCATATTATAATATAATTAAAAATATTTTATCCCCACGGTTAAATTTTTAATAAACATTTAATTTTAGTACAGTTCCAAAAAATTATTATAAATATTATATTGGTGCAAAAGTACTCGCGTCGACCTTTATTTGAAAACTGTGCTAGCTAGAACAAAACAAAAAATATAATTTTTTACAATTCTTATTGACTTCAAGGCACAGAAGTTATAAGTTTGNAATACATACAGTACAGGAGTCCCGTTTACCCTCATCGTATCCAGCACAAAACATATAATCAGTAATACTAGACTTATAATCCTTAATACAAGTAGCCCTATCGAGCACCGGTATGTCAAGTGTTTGTAAATGTTCAGGCAAAACCATATCGTCATTTAAACCCCATCCAGTTACAGTAGCAACTGATCCAGGTGCTGCGTAATCCTGGTCCTGGTGAGGCAGATTAATTTTGTCTAGGTCAGGTGTACCAAGTTTAAATGTACCATTTATTTGTAGCAGGGCAATGTCATAATTAGGGTCAGTGAAGTTTTCATGTGGAATTAGCTTGGTGATATTGAAATCTACTCCAGGCTTTTCTTTTAATAGGGTAGCGCACCGTAGTAATAGAATTTCAGGCGTGACCCTGGTAAATTATAAAATAAAATTAATTGTACTGTATAATATAGTGAAATTATATTTTACAAAATAAAAATAAATTATTTAAAAATATATGCGCTAGATTCCCATACCCATAAATTAAAAAATTAATATTTCATTTAAATTTTATATAACTAAAGTTATAATTTACAGTTTGAATTTAATAAACTATTGATTTTAAAAATTATTTAATAAATAATTATAACATAAATGACATACTTTTCCAGACAGTGGGCGGCGGTGACCACCCATTGGGTGCCTATAATAGATGCCCCGCATTGATGGGAACCATTGATTCTCAGGGAACACATGTGGGGGTTATCACCGGCTTTGGCATCACTGCCCCCTATGATACCGACCCTAACTATATTGGTTTTATCCTGGTGCTCATCAAACGGAAATGCAATTGACCAAGCACCTAATGTTAATAATAGTATATATTTCAAAAACATTTTGTTAGATACGTGTAATTGTTTTAAAACATTACGTTTTTAATCATTTATATAAAATAATTGTTAGTAAAATACTTGTATGATGTTCAAGTACATTAATGTATTAATGCGATATCTATTGAATGTTATCATTAATCAAATGTTAAGTGTTTCACAGAATTTCAATTATTTTAATATAATTGTAGTGTACTTAATGTGAACTGACATTTAATATTAAAGGTAATATAATATTATTAGATAAGTTTAAAATGGTTTATAAAGGGCTGACATACCAACACTTTTTAAATATAAAAATATTTTTCATATTAAAAAATAAAACTAATTTACTAACAATTATTTTATATAAATGATTAAAAACGTAATGTTTTAAAACAATTACACGTATCTAACAAAATGTTTTTGAAATATATACTATTATTAACATTAGGTGCTTGGTCAATTGCATTTCCGTTTGATGAGCACCAGGATAAAACCAATATAGTTAGGGTCGGTATCATAGGGGGCAGTGATGCCAAAGCCGGTGATAACCCCCACATGTGTTCCCTGAGAATCAATGGTTCCCATCAATGCGGGGCATCTATTATAGGCACCCAATGGGTGGTCACCGCCGCCCACT